GATTGTCACAAGAGTATGAACCTGTTCGTGCCCAGATTTTGGGTAGCCCTGCACTTCCATCTCTACCTGATATGTTATCCAGACTCCAGCGTGCCACTTTATCTAGTGGCGCTTCAGAGGGTGCTTCAAGTTGTGTCACTGCTCCTCCTAGTAGTGAACGTTCTGCCTTAGTTGTGAACCAGGGTGGTTTTCAGTCTTCTCGTGGCGGTGGTGGTCGTTTTACTCGTGGCCGTGGTCGAGGAAAAGGCAGAGACTCAAAACTTTGCTCTCACTGCAGTCTTACTAATCACACTGTCAATTACTATTGGGATCTTCATGGGAAACCGCCACCTTCTTCCTATGCACATCAAGTGACTTCTCATGATGGGGATTCTTCTCTCTCTACCAGACCCACTGCTTCACATGTGGCTGTTGAGACTGCTATGGTCAAGATTCCCCGCGATGAGTATGCTCAGTTTCTGTCTCACCAACGGCCTTCCACCTCATCTTCCATGGGGTCCTTGGCCCAATCAGGTAATGCCCCTGCATGTCTTTTGTCCTCTAGTTAGAGTCCCTGGATTCTTGACTCTTGCGCATCCGATCGCATGACTGGTAGTTCTCATCTCTTATCTGATTTTCAGTCTGTTCCTTCCTCTCAAAGTGTTACTCTTGCTAATGGATCATCAACTAAAGTTTTGGTTTGGGAACTATTCATCTTACCTCTTCTATGTCCCTTTCTTATGTGTTATATGTTCCTCAATTCCCTTTTAATTTGTTGTCCATTAGGAAAATTACTAAATCTCTTAACTATTTCGTTACATTTTATCCCACATGTTGTCTTTTTCAGGATCTCAAGACGAAGAAGAGGATTGGTACGGGACATGAAGTAGGTGGCTTGTATTACTTCGATCTTGCACCATCTCCCACGGCTCTTCAATCATCTTTGTCTTCTTTCCAGTGGCACTGTCGTCTCGGCCACCCATCATTATCAGTTCTGCAGCGTCAAGTCCCCGGTCTTAGTCATGTTGAGTCCATGTCTTGTGAAACATGTCAGCTTAGTAAGCATTGTTGTGTATCTTTAAAACCAAGAGCTAATAATCGTGTTGCTAGTCCTTTTCAATTAGGTCATTCAGATGTATGGGGACCAATAAAACATATTTCTATTCATGGATTTAGTTATTTTGTGACTTTTGTGGATGATCATTCTCGGATGACTTGGTTGTTTTTAATGAAAAATCGTTCTGAGTTGTTTTCTATTTTCCAAATATTTCGCAAAGAAATAAAAACTCAATTTGGGTGTTCCATTAAAATTTTACGTTCTGACAATGCCAAAGAATATTTCTCGGACCCTTTTGTGACTTATTTTCATGCTAAAGGCATCATTCATCAATCCTCTTGTACTTATACTCCGCAACAAAATGGATTAGCTGAACGTAAAAATCGTCATCTCCTGGAAGTCTGTCGTGCCCTTTTATTTCATATGCATGTTCCCAAACGATTTTGGAGTGATGCTGTTCTTACGGCATGTCATCTTATTAATCGAATACCCTCGTCCGTGTTAAAAGGTAAATCTCCTAATTCTGTTCTATTTCCTGACTCCGTATCGTTTAATCTGGCTCCGGTGGTCTTTGGTTGTGTGTGTTATGTCCATAACCTTGGACCCAGTCTTGATAAACCCGACCCTCGTGCCACTAAGTGTGTTTTTCTTGGGTATTCTCGCACTCAAAAGGGCCATCGTTGTTACAGTCCTCATTTTCAACGCTATTTCACTAGTGCTGATGTAACATTTTCTAAGTCTCTCCCATATTTTTCTGATTCTACTACTCCTCTCGATATTACTTCTGCGCCGCCTATGCCAGCGGTTCCATCTCAGTTTCCTGCTTCCGCACCTCCTCACTCTGTTGTTCCATTGCAAGTTTATACTCGACGACCTCGACCTCCTACTTCACTCCCTCCATCTCCTTCAGACTCTTCGGATCCGACGCCTTTACCTGATGATTTGCCTATTGCTCTCTGTAAAGGTATTCGGTCATGTGTTACTGCACATCCCATTTCTAACTTTGTCTCCTACCGTCATATTTCATCCTCTTTATCTTGTTTTTTATCCAAAGTATCTGCTACTTCTGTTTCCAAGACTTTGCAGGATGCTCTCTTTGATTTGGGTTGGCGACAAGCCATGGTGGATGAAATGGATGCCCTTCATCGTAATGGAACATAGGATCTTGTTTCCTTACCTCCGGGCTCCAAAACGGTTGGTTGTAAGTGGGTCTACACAGTCAAATACCTTTATTATGGGTCTATTGAGCGGTTGAAGGCTCGTCTAGTGGCAAAGGGGTACACTCAGACTTATGGTGTTGATTATGATGAGACTTTTTCCCCTGTTGCTAAGATTTCTTCTATTCGGGTTCTGATTTCCATTGCTGCCAATTGTAACTGGCCGTTGCTTCAATTGGATGTCAAAAATGCCTTCTTACATGGTGACTTGGTTGAAGAAGTTTATATGGAGCAACCACCTGGGTTTGTTGCTTAGGAGGAGTATCGTCACACTATTTGTCGCCTTAAAAAGGCTCTGTATGGATTAAAACAATCTCCACGGGCTTGGTTTGGAAAATTCTCTGAGGCGGCATTAGAATTTGGTCTTACCAGATGCCAGACCAATCATTCGGTATTTCATCTGCGCACTAAAGCTGGCTTCATTTTTCTTGTGGTGTATGTAGATGATATTGTGATCACAGGTGATAATTCTGCAGACATTGCTAAGTTGAAGTTGTTTCTACAAAATCGATTCCACACTAAAGACTTGGGTAAACTTAGGTACTTCTTGGGTATTGAAGTTGCTAGATCCAAGGAAGGTATAAGTTTATCTCAACGAAAATATGTGTTGGACTTGCTAGAAGAAACGGGTATGTTAGGTGGTTGTCCGGTTGATGCTCCTATGGATTCAAATACAAAACTTGTGTCTGATGAGGGTGATCTATTTAATGACCCGGGCAGATTTCGTCGCCTTGTTGGGAAATTAACTTATCTCACTATCACTCGACCTGATATTTCATATGCAGTTAGTGTTGCAAGTCAGTTCATGGGAGCTCCTAGAATGCCACATTGGATTGCTGTTCTTCGGATTATCCAATATCTCAAGCAAGCTCTAGGTTTTGGGTTACTATACATCAAATGGTCATCTCAGGGAGGAAGGTTTTACAGATGCTGACTGGACTGGTTCTCCTTCAGATAGGAGATCCACTACAGGCTACTGTACATTTGTAGGAGGAAATCTTGTTACGTGGAAAAGTAAAAAGCAAACGATGGTAGCTCGATCTAGTGCTGAAGCTGAGTACAGGGCAATGGCCCATACCACTAATGAGTTGACATGGATACAATATTTTCTAATAGAACTTGGGTTGATAATTGAAGCTCCTACTCCATTGTTCTGTGATAACCAAGCAGCTGTTCATATTACATCGAATCCTGTGTTTCATGAGAGGACCAAACATATTGAGGTTGATTGTCACTTTATTCGGGAAAAAATATTAAGTGGGAGCATCTCTACTCCATTTGTGAAGTCTGAAGATCAACTAGCTGATATGTTTACCAAAGCACCGTGTCATAACCGGTTAAGGACTATCTATTCAAAGGGGATTATTTGATATATATTCTCCAGCTTGAGGGGGAGTGTTAGAATGTTGGGTCATTATGTAATTAACCATAGTATTTAGGATTATTGTGTAATTAGGGTATAACCCTTGTTCTTTATATAAGCCTCATTTTGAGGCTGAAGGAAAGATACAGAATACATATTCCTCTCTCTCTCTCTCTCTCTCTCTCATGAATCTGAACATTTAGAAACCCTAAATTTTGTTGTTTGTTGTGTCATGAATCAATCCATGGCTTGATCCTTCACCTCTGTTCCATTATCGGCTGATGGATCAATCATTGGGACGGTTAATCGTGCTTTGTGGAGAATGCCTTGGTTGATATGCCGATCAATCCATCTTGTTCAGCAATTGTAGAGACTATATGTTCCAATTTTCTAAGTAATTCTAAAACACAACGAATCATTAAAATCCTCCTAGACGAAGAATATGATACCAATGCATAAGGCGCAACCCTAAAATGGTTAATAATCCATTTTTGAAAGCTGGCTCTAGCCATTTTACGTCAACATCAAAGCTTTCTTCCTCGTGTTCTTTAGCTTAATAGTCAATGTCAATTTAGATCAAATGTGCGACTCCAATTGACCAATTCAACTACAACAAAAACAATGAACACAGTCTTTTTCTAACTTCTTGGGGTTGACTATATGAATACTATTATTCAATTCCACTTCATAGCCTCAGTAAAACCACATGTTACCATATCCTTCTTTACTAACTCTATCCACATTAACTCTCATCTTTTCCTTCCCCTAGCATTATCCTCAATACCCTACATGCTGCACATTAAGGCCCAAAAAGTCTAGAAGGACTTCTCTTCCTTCTCTTGTACTGGCTTCTTACATTTTTCTTCATGATACATTATCCTGCTTCTTACATTTACAGAGATTTTGCTGCTCTTCAATCTACACCGATTTTGTAACATTTTCTTTCCTAGAGAAGAGCTTTCCTTTCAAATGGAATACTTCGTGTATTAACTCCGGGTGTGTGAGCTTCAAAGTTGTAAAACTAGCTTGCAAAAGACATCATTGTAATCCTTCTGCTCACTTTGGCAGAGGGGGAATCTCTAATTGTATTCATCAGAAGATAGAAAGTTCTATAACAAATATCCTAAATATTGCATCCTCAACGATTCTTCTACTTTCTTTCAATCTTTTAGGTGGTTGTTGACATTATATGTGTGCGCGCGAGATCAAATGTAATTAAATAAGAAGATTTATATGTGCCTATATCACATAATTATAGTGTGTATTTGTGTGTGTGTGTGTGTGTGTGTGTGTGTGTAATAAATTGATAGGTATATAAAGAAATAAAATCATATGCGTAATAAATTGATAGGTATATAATGAAAAAAAGGCATTGTGTAATTACCTTTTTCAGCTCTTGTTGGAACTCCAGAATCCTCTCCGTGCTTACTGCCCTAAGCAATTTAACTAAGTATCCTGATTTTATAGCTGAGTTGGTATCGACAAAAATTGCAATTTTTCTGTAATCTATGACATCTTCAAAAGGCAACTCAATAAAGTCACTGATTATAACTGGTACACACAAGCTCACAATAGCATCAAAGAGTCGACAAGCTGATGGAGTATCACCAGCAGGATGTAAACAGAACTTTGATGAATGCATCCCTTGTGAAGCCACACGGCGACTCTCTCTGGACTGTGCACCATGTTTTATAATAACATCTTTTTCATTCTCAAGTAGTTGAAAGAGCAAGTCACGAATTTTCCCACCCTACAATTTACAATAATTATCAGCTGATATATATGCTTGCAAATTCACAAACACAATCATAACGCCGTCATACACAAACTTAAAAGGGGAGGAAAAGGTGGGAGAGGGAGAACACAATGTAATAACCAGAGCCACATGCATTACACAGCATCGAAAGCATAAATTAGTATAAACATTAGGCAATATCAATTGTCTGCCTACCAAAGCAAGGCAAACGACTCATTTAAAACGAGAAGGTAAAAGAATACATCCATGCATGACTATCAAGAAGGTTTCTGTACATGGAACCATCATTTATAAGAAGGTTTCTGTATACGGAACCATCATCTTTGTGTTTTCTGGCTATTACTCAAGGCATGACTTATCAAGGATGGATATAATATATTGTGTTCGAGAGTTCGAGCAGCCAATTTATATGCACTCCCCGTCTAGTTGCACTCAGCTGCACCTTTAGATGAGGTTGGGCATGCCCTTATTGGCAGGAAACTGGAGTTCTGATAAGCAAATCCTTTTGTACTGGGTCAAGTGGGTTTCAAGATCCATAAGCTAACAGAGTTTAGTGTTTGGCATATGGAAGGAGAGCTCTTGTACTGCTTTGCTTATTTCCTATTCCCATTGGGTTGTGAGGATTTTGTGGTGGGAATTACTTATTTTCCTTTGTTGTTGGGATTAATGGTTGGGTGTATTAAGCCTTGTGGGATCTTTAGTTTTTCGGTAACAAATCCAATCCACTTACCTATAGAACATAAATATTACCTAGAGAACATAAATAAATAAAAGAACATACCAAAAACAAATAAACAGAGAGTTATTGTAAGTTGTAGCATATATGTATTGTTATAGACTAAAAATTGAAATAGGAATATCTGTGGAGAATTGACTGGAAATACCCATCAGGATATTAGTAGTTTAGGTAATAGAATAGGATCACAGGATTTATTGCATCAAGTATAAACATTCTTGGTCCAATTGAGTACTAACATTATTTAATCTGACTTCTTTTAAAAGGGACTTCCCCCTTGATCCGAGTCAGATCTGCTGACTCGCTACTAAGTTGATTGCTAAATGCAATAAACCTTGCACAAAGATGGACATTGATCAAATCTGACCTTGAGCTGATGTGTTGCCCCTATTGTGGTCAAATTTGATTGTCACTTTGATAGCAAAAACCAGTAGGTGATATTTGAGGTGTGACTGAGCTTAACACTTCAGATTCTACTCAAGATTCTGTTATGAAATCGAGAGCAATAAACCAAAGTTTGAACACTTCTTAGTCCTTCCGCGTGTAGCTGCGGATAGAAGCTTTTGGAGATCCACAAGATCTCTTAATTCCTGTAGCCAATAAATAAACAATAGATCTATTAATTCCTGTAGCCAATAAATAAATAATATTGGACAGGCGCAGGCGCATCATTTTTTTCTTCGAGTACTGTGTACACACTGTCATGTCATATTCCAATAAACAAGAAAATCTTACTCCATTACTTTAGTCCCAGAAGTAAAGAAAGATGAGTCAAATGTATAATTGCTTCTAGCCTATTATTTGATCAATGTGAATGTCAAAAAGTAAAAGCTAAGCTTTACGAAATGGTTATTAGACCAAATGTGCATTATAGGACAAAATGCTGGATGGTTATTCGGTACAAAATGGAGATGGGATGCTAAGATGGACGTGTGGTAACACAACAAAACACAGTTACAAATGATGGCATTCATGAACCAGCTAAAGTAGCACTCACTAACAAAATTACTAGAAATATACTAAAATGGTACTAATAATTGCACCCGTGAGGAAGAAGAACATAATCCAGATTCTCATAATCCAACCAAAGTTACAAAACAAAATTTTGCACTTTACTTAAACTGAGCACCCTCCTTGAGGATAAGTTCAATCATCCTTAAAAATGCCTACTTTTAGTACTCTGCGGATTATTTTCCTTTCATGGCAGCTAATTTAAAGATTATTGAATGGTTTATGAAATTATAAAATCTTACAACAAAAACCAAAAAAAAAAAATAGTCACCTCTTTTCGGTACCGGTTGCCCATGAAGAACAACAGCGACTTCCGACTCTCGACATCAACGTCGCCGTCGAAGGTTCTGATCCGATGCGAATACGGCAAAATCACATCTTTCACCAGCGAGGCCTGGTCATGCCCCAACCTCCCGAAATCCGAAACAAGCAACACCCCATTCTTCACCTGATCAACAACTTTATACAGTGCATTCGGATCCTGACATATGAAGACATGGTCCCAACCATTGTTCCTCTTCCAATACTCCTTCTCCTCCAACCATTTGATCAACCCCTCCTGCATCTCCTCGTCACTGTACACCGGCGGGTCCACAACCACACCAGGCCGAATCGGGTTCACCACCAAGCTCAACGACGAAAAGAACGGCACATAGAACAAGTCCGCCTCTTCAGGGTCCAAAACCCTGGTCACTGACGACCCAGTCCGGTCCGGCCGGATCAAATCGGCAAACAAGTACCACTCCGCAGGGTGCTGATTCCCCGGGTACTTCAGCTCCGACACGTCGTCCACCGGTGACTTCAGACCTCCACGAGCCATCGAGTAGCTCTCGATGACCCCGTAGGTGAATTGTCTGGGTAGATCGTACATGTAGACCTTGACGGGCAGTGAATTTCCTGGAGAATTGACAAGATTTTCTCGGGAACCGAACAGGAGGTTGGTTTCAAGCTTTGAAGGGCTGGGGAAGAGGATTGTGTTGAAGAATGCGTAGCAGCCTAAGAGTATAATCACCGTGGCTAGGGTTTGTTTGACGATTGATTTGCGTGATCCCATCTTGGAAGTTAGGGTTAGCGTTTTGACATATGGGGAAGAAGGAGGAGAGTGGTGTGAGTTGACTCTGGTTTTGGATCGATGGTACTTCATGATCGTCGATGGTGTCGGTGACGCATGGTGATAACGTGCGCAGAGGGAGCACAGTTACAACGTTGGCCGGAGTTTGGAGTTTAAAAGGGAGAGTTTATGTTGGGATTTAAATATTTAAAATTTTTGTTTTATAGGGGGCTATGTACAATTATGAATGTTATTAATGGTGTTTATTGGTTGAAGAGGAATAGAAGGTGTGACATTTTTATGAAATTTAATTCTCTCATTGTCATTCTCGATGATAAAGCTATTTTTTAAAAAAAGGTCAGTATTAGTAACGTAACAATAGATGATGTTGGATTCAATAATAATAATAATAATATATATATATATATATATATATATATATATCAACTACGAAGACACATAACAACCTTGTTATTCACATATTCATAAATAACTTTTAAAAAAAAATTTATGACGCACTCTATTTTTCTTCAATTGTACTCCATTTACGTTTTTCTTTTAAAATAAATGACAATAATGTTTTTAAATTCATTAATGTATCATCTCTTAATTTATAATGTCATAACTACCTTTTATACAACTTTAACTTTTTTTAACTTCTTTACTATTTTTTTCTTTTTTTTTGTTTTTTTTCGGATGTCCTCTCAAAAAAAAAATTTATTATATAACAATAATTTTATTTTTTTATAGTTAAAATAGATAATTTATTCAACAAAGTTAACTTTTATTTCATTAAAAGAGGTAACTTTTTTTTTTGGGTAATTTTTTTATGGGTTGGGTCAAGGGGATCTTGACAAAAGATATACTTTCTACAATAAATATATTTTTTTTGGGATTTTTCTTCATGTCAAAAGAGAGAGTTTTTTTTTAATGGTTACTTTTATTCAATATATATATATATATATTCAAAAAAAAATTTGGTCGTATCAAAAAGACCTAAAATATTAAATATTAGAGATAAGGAGAGAAAATTTGAAAGGACAGTTGTGTTATTTAAAAAATTATCATTATTTATTTATACAGTTAAGGTTAGAATTGTCATTTCATTAAAGATTGTAGTGCAAACCATAAAAAGTGGTATGTGAATATCACCTCCCTTTATATATTTTTGACGATAATGTATATGGTAACAATAATTTATTTCTATTCCTTCACTTCAAAAGAAAATAATAATAGTAATAATAAATTTTTTTTATTGGTTTATTATATTATTATATTATTTTGTGCATGCCTAACATGCTCCATTAAACCCATTTTAAAAAGGTAATTGAAGTATTTGATTTTATAAAAAAATATTAAATTATTATTTTTCAAATGTTTGAATTGCATATACAGTATTATTGACTATCCCAATTGCAGTTGCATATGCTGAAAAAAGTTTTTCAAAGTTAAAATTGGTCAAATCTTACCTACAGTCGACAATGTCATAAGAGAGATTGAATGAATTGGCTATGATATCCATTGAAAAAGATATGTTGAAGAAACTTTATTAGAACACTTTAATTGATAATTTTACGGCTTAAAATGTAAGACGAATACATTTATGTCAATATGATGTTAAATTTTGATTTTTGTGACTAAGTTGTGTTGAATATTTCTTGTAATTTTTTAATATTTTACCTTGATATGAAGTTAAATTTTGATTTTTGCGTCTAAGTTGTTTTGAAATATTTATTTATTTATTTATTTATTTATTATTATTATTATTATTATTATTTATGTAAACTGGATTGTGCTTTTTATAAAGTATCAAGACCGGATTTTGTTTTGTGTATTTTTTACATTAATATATTTTATGTGTTTATCATCTCATTTTAAAGAAAATTACGCACTTTTATAAATTTTTTGAACTGTGTTAAACTTCTTAGAAGGACCTTGTATTTGAAAGATCACCCAAGAATTTTGAAAATCTTAGACCGGCCCTGTCTGAAATACTTACATCTGGTAGAAAATTTTAGAGAGAGAAAGAGATAGACATGAAAGAAATATCTATTTGTTTAACTTGTCTATAGGAAGAGTGGTTAAAGCAACTTTAAAACTATATAACGGGTCATACCGCGAAACACTCCACTCATGACAAATGATATTAGAGTAGGCCCAAACTTTGATTTACTGTCATGTCAAGTGCCGACACGGAGATATTTGGGTCCTCGGTGTTAGGTAGACGGGTAGATAAAGTGGACCATCTGCAACAAGGACGTTACAGGTTTAGATGGCGAAGAATGTCATGAATTCTTTTTTCATGTTGGATCCGAATGAAGAGGATCTTGAGCATATGTGGTTGAGTGTTAGCACCATCTAATAACTTAAATTTTGGGTCGAACTGCGGAGAACCCACCCGTGATATATAAAAGAGGTTGGTGTAACTATGGCAAATTTTTAGTGTAATTTACTTAACTATTTTTTGGTGCCTACAATGTTTGGTTTAAGAAAAGTGAGGAGTTCACGTGGTGTTTGTCTAAAAAGGAGTGGGGGAGTTATGTGTGATAAGTACGCAAAACTGATGGTGGTTCGTCGCTACACCACAAGCTCAGAGAGTGTGCATTAAGGCAAGGGCCAAGTTTTACATTTATAAAAGCCACTACTACCTTCACTAAAAACATAGTTAGGGTGAGTAGGGATCGTCTCAAGGGATTGGAGTCATACTAGCTTGTAGAATCACAATTAGGGTTAGTAGGTCGAGTGATCAAACAAATAGTTGGTTGGTTGATTAAACTAAAGAACAAATTAAATTAAATAATTGAATGTAATAAAGAGTAAGTAAGAGAGAGAGAGAGATATTGGGGTTTAGAGGTCACCACCAAGCAATACTTTTCTACTCCCTTAACAAGTGACTAATGAGGGAAATGTGTGTTACAATATTGATGTGTGTGTGTGTTTGGTTGATTCAATTAGCAAGGGTGACCAATTAAGTATATATTGTCTAAGCAACATGTGAAAAGCACAATATATCTAACAATTAAGTATATATTGTCTAAATAACATGTGAAAAGTACAATATATCTAGCAAGTCATTAATCATTTCATTAAGCTCACAAGCCAAATACACCACAAGGTTAGAGACATATGTTACTTGCATTCAAAAGTATGGAACATCAAACAATAAATATGGATTGTCCTCCTGTCTAACAACTATGCTACCACTACACTACAATTAAGCTAATGGCATGAAATTAAACTAATTAAGCTAAGGGAGATGCACAATCCATTAAGAAATGAGCATGAACCATCTAAAAAATTACAAGAGCATTCCATTAAGTACTATGTTTTGACAATCTCTAAATCTATGGCATTAATACGCATAAAGATGCATCAATAACACAAGAAATAGAGACAAACACATGAACATCTATTTTGGCATACATAGACGTATGGATAGAATGAAATGATCAATTAGAAGCATTAAACCACATAAATCATTGAATAAACAAGATCTATATATATAAAAGTGTCAAAACATGTATTACAACACTAATCCCTCAATAATACACAAAATCAAGATGTAGAAAGCATACTTGGGGCTAACTTTAGCCTCAAGAGGATGTCTAGCCACTCATGGTAGTGCTTCTCCAACCCTCAAGGGCTAATCCATGGTAGAGATTTGCTCCTTGGTTGATGAAGAGTCTACAATGGTGTCTCTAGCCTCCTCCTCCTCTAAGCTTGCTCTCCAAGAGTTCTTACAAGGTATGAGATGATATGATGTAAAAGTAATCCTCATCCTTATATAGGTAGGTCAAAATGACATACAAAATGAGCTGGGGTCGTGCACAAAACATTCCCCAATGATTGGATAAAGGACAACTTTTTGTGAGCTGGAGATTTAACTTTTTCGCACTGGAGGAAGTTCGATTGATTGAACCTTGGATTTGGATCGATCGAACATGGCTGAGATCTATCGAACTGAAGTTGGATTGATCCTCAATGGCGGCGCTTTTTGGATAAAGACAAATCTGAGATATTTTGAAGATATTTTTGGGAAAAGGACAAAAGTGGTTTGTAGGGTGGTACAATTAGATAAGATCAATCATTTGGAAAAGGACAAGGCAGTTCGATCGATCGAAGAATGACGTTGGATCGATCGAACTTTTGAGATCTCTGAAAATGTCATTATGGCTCTGATCCATCTTGAAGTACTGAGATCGATCATGTTGGATCGATCGAACTTTGATCTGAGATCGATCGAAGATGTTGATTTCCACTTTTTTCTTCCTTTTGCTTCCACTTGGCTCATTTCTTTGATTCATCCCAGAATTGCTTCATTTCTGCTCTTATTTGGCTGAGTTAGCTTATTTTCGGGATAAGTGCCTGAAAATAGAAATAATACGAAATCAATCTAAAATGGTAAAGTAAGATAGATGAAGGTACTAGAATGCCTAAGTTTAAGGGGTTTAAATACACATTTTTCAGCACTCATCAAAAACCTATTATTTCATACACCAAAATATGCTTTTAATTAGACTTTTACATTATTTAAATATTCTTATATGCTTATTTTATGTTTTGTAGGTATTAATTTATGAAGGAGAAGAAAAGAAAAACAAAAGTCAGCTATATTGTGTATATGTGTATGCACGTGAAGAAGAGAAATGAGGAGAGAGAAAGAAGAAAAGAAAAGAAAAAAAGAATAAAGAGTCAGCAAGGGTAGGCAGGAAGAAAAGGAAATGGTCAGTGAAATAAGTAGTAAGAAGGTGGCGTGAAGAAATGAAGAAGAAATATGGGCAAATCCATCATCACAGCCTACAAGTGGGTTACTTCATTTGGCAATAAATTGCATACTTGAGAGAGAGAGAGAGGGAGGAAGTTTTTAGATAGTTTTTAGTTGTCATTGTAGTTTTTTTCTTTGTGTAATTTTTATTCAAGCTTTTCTCATTTAATGTAAAATGTTTTCTTAAAGTTTTTCTTCTTATTTAATTTAATGCAAGTTAGTTTTATTTACATGTTTCTTTTATTATTGGTTCTCACTTACCTATTTGATGGTTTTGTAGTAATAATTTTATTTCAATCATTTGTGACAAATTCCAAAATCAATGTTTTAAAATCTTTTTTCCAGAAACAAAAACTCACTTGAATGCGTGGTTCGACTCTACTGACCATTAGATATTTTTTTAATTAAATAGTTGTAAGCATTTTATTCTAAAATGGAGTATATTTGACAACGACAAG